ATCAAAGTTAGAAAGTTGAAATCTTTTTCGTTCGTCATTTTAATTTTAAGTGATGTTTTTGCACGAGAAAAGTAAAAACAAAACCAATATTGTTTGACCAACTCTCTCACAGAAGAATCTCGAAATTTTTACTTTTTCTACTTACTCATTAGATTACAAACTAATGCAAACTATACCAATAATTATACAATAATGCAAACTCATACAAATACTACACCAAGTATAATTGTAATTGAAATTAGCCAGGATCCTCTCCCATTTCTGCTACTATCTAGAGAGAAAAAAAAATTCCAATTAATTCAATTAGAATATTTTCATCTCCACGTTCAGGAATTAATCATTCACGAATAGGTTAACTGAACTTAAAAATTTTAAAATACACGAAAGACGCAATTAATGAAAAACACAGACTTTGCTATCTGAAAATGAGATCTAGAAATAACAGATCCAGATATCGCGAATCATCCCATGAAAATTCATATCTATCTTTTCCCGAAAAAGCTTTCCCGCTTTTAGGGCATTTCCCGTCTCATAATAATTACTCAAGATTAAAAAAGATCGCCTTTGCAATTAGTGGGAGAAGGCTGAGTATATATCGGATGAACCGATATATTTCTCCGCCCCTTCATTCTTCTCAAAAGGCAGTTATTAATTTAGCGCCACCATTCATCATAATTTTATGTCCCAAAGTGGTAAATTGGTTTAGTCAATCAACGAAATTAAGCAATTTACCTAAATGTACTCTTTTCTTCCGTCTCATATTTCCATCGCTTTTCAGGGCACTTTGGTGGAATTGAGATTGCGCTCTTTCGGGCTACAGATAGAATTAAATATCACTAAGAATATAGATTAATATTGCTTTTTGGGTAAAAAAAATTAATTCATTTGAAAATTATGACTACCGTTGCGATAGCTTAAAGAGCATATATATATATATATATATATACTAGAGGGCTCCGACCCCTGCTCGCTACCGCTCGCCAACCCCCGTTAACTGCTTACGCAATTACATTTTCGTTCACTTCGCGAACAAAATTAAAATTGCTTTCCTGGAGATTAGCTAGCAGTTTTTCTGCACCAACAACATCACATAGAGAGAATATGATAGGATTGTAATATGTCAGAGGTGCTTATAATCGGCATTATAAACTTATATAAAGCAATTTTAATACAAACAATATTATAAACTTATATAAAGCGAGGAAGCAATATTATTTAGCACATTACTATAGGGCATTAGCCGGAGATTAATCTCCGTATCCGAAGCGCGCGTGGCAGAGCCTAACTCAGATCATTGATGATCTTATAGGATGCCGGAAGCTCCCTATAGGGTGCTCCATCCCCCTCCCCCAGTAATTTAAATTTTAAACTGAAAAAATTAAAACCTAATGAAAAAAATAACTTTAAAATATAGCAAACAAATTTAAACATGTAATATTAATAAGTTGATGCTGAGTCATATTTCAGAAAGCAAATACCATTGCAAGTAATTGCCCAATTAACTTCAATACAGTCAACTGACAAAATATTTTAGTTTCAATCAGACAAAAAGCAAATTATATAATAAAAACATATGTAACTGAAATTCGACAAATTAAACTAAGCAATTTAATTTTTTTTTGTCATATTGAATAGTAATAGAAAAACAAATATGAAATGAAATAATTATGTTATCAATGATCAATAAACATTTAAATCAATAAACAATAAAACCCGATTTATCAGAGCTATTAAAATATATTGGAATTCTAAAATAAATAACTGCGTTCTATCAAAACAAACATTTTATTATAAAACTTTAGAACAACTATCTTTTTACATTGCCACTCAAAATTATTAATAAACACTGGATAATATTGCATTAATGACACTTTTATCTAATGACGTCATAAACAATCGTTTGCATAAAGTTTAGTTCATAATAATCATACATAATCGTATGCATAAATAATCGTTCGGTCTTTTTATAGCTTTACGTAACAAGTGTGAGATTTTTTGTTGTTGTTTTTTTTTTTGTTTTTGGAATGGCGATGTTATAATTTTGTTGTTAAGTTAATAAATCTTCCTTTTTAAAAACGTAATGGTAGAGTTTTCATAATTATTTGATTCGAAGTCCTCTGAGTTTTACTTGAGGTCAGTTTGTATTTTATATTTTTTGACAGCATTATTAAAAATTATTACCTTTTCACACACGTGCGCTGTCAATTTTGATTGGTTGTTTTGTGCGTTACTAACCAGAAGTCTTCTGTGATTGGCTATGTGTTATCATTCCATTCTCTTCTTATATATAAAGATATATATATATATATATGTGTGTGTGTGTGTGATTGTTGATTTTACATAGCTTTGGTAAATGTCCAAAATATATACTAGCTCCAGGTAAGTGCCACTTCCCTGGTATACACTTGCCCGGTATGTCCTACATCAATGATTTTTAAGGTCCAGTGACGCTGCCCAGTATGCAACAAATATATTAATATCAAATCGGATATAACAAATATTTTGGACATTTACCCATAACATTTTTTGGACATATATATATATATATAAAGTAATGTTGTATTTTGGGCAAGAGTTTATTAATATTTTTTTTAATTATCTAGTTGCAATAGCTTAAGAAATGCTTCAAATTGATGATTTAGATTTTTCTTAAGAATCTCTTTCAGACTTTTTTTGTTATTTAATATTATAATTTTTTTCGATATTGGATCACGTTTTTGTATGCACAATTTTGCCTTTAATGTTGTAACTTTACTTAGAAAAGAACAAATAATAAAATAAAAATTAATAATTAAATGTAAAAAATTCAATAACAATAATAATAAAAAGAAAACAGTATCTATGAACGCTTTTCCGTTATTTTAGCCTTTAACATTTATTTCAAACAGTAATCAAAATTTCCTTTGCGTTTTCTTGCAATACAGGTATTTTAATACATTTATTTATTACATAAATTTTTCACTTCGGTGGGTTTTTATATAAATTGAGATAATAAAATAGATATTTATTTATTTTTAATGTTGACTTCAGTTTCGAGGTAAAAAATTCGGAATTCGGTCGTTAATATCCCCTTTGGCAGATTAAATATATTTGCGAAAATATTTTCCCAATAATTTTTAATGAAATAAAAAGTGCTTTTTTCTCCATGTTTGCGTGTGTCTTTTAAGATATCAAAAATAATTTTTCATGCCGTGATGAAGGAGTAATAAAATAGCCTCAGAAAAAAAGTTTAAGTAATACTTACTTCAAGTGAGGGAAAAACTTGCTTTCAACTCAGAATTCGCGCGTTAGAAAATCTATCATTATGTTATTTTTTCAATATAACTTTTCTTAAGAGAAGGCATTTTTATAATTGAAACATTAGATGATTTGATAATGTATACAGACTTTTGAACCAAGCTTTTAATCTCAATAATTTTGATCATGCACATTAACGCAGCGTTTCGAAGTCTGTTGCCAAAAAAAAAAAGTCATAGTTTAAGTGCCTTACACTTGAAGAATTGCAATGATTTTAAACTATACACGTAATTTTGCAGTGAAGAATTATCTGGCCTTAAGAACAGACAAATAACTTAAGTATTATAAAAGTTTTTAAACTTTTTTTAAAAATTGCTGATTTAGCGACATTTTTTCACCTAGATGAAAATTATCAAAATTACTACCTTATTCTCAGTTTTTGCAAATTTTTATAAGCCCAGGTAATGCAGTTCAGTAATAGTAGTAATGCAGTTTAGCAGTTAAAATAAGTTTTTAAATATTAAAAAATTGAACCAGAAATGCTTTTCATTTTCATAAAACTGGCTTTTCTCCATATTGAGGTTTTGCGCCATTTTCAAAATAAGCTTAGACTGGCTTAAAATAGGCTAAACTTGACCGAACTGTCATGAGTAACAGTTGCAAACTCACAGCAGTTGTAAAAATAGCATATTATTCATAAAAGCTATACATATTACGACGGAGCCTTCGATAAACAACCTCAATACTTAAAATTCTTACACTCCAAACAAACATTACGTCATAATTATTAGCAATAATTATCATAACATTAATCATAATAACTCAAATAATACTGTACTAAAGTTATGATTTTTTTCTAATGGTAAATATTATAAGTGAACTGAATTATGGACAAAGCATACGTAAAATCAAATCCTTTCTATATTAAAGTCATTAATTAAAATTAATAGTAAAAGGATGCATTATCATTAAAAAACTTTATACTTAACCAGGTTTAAATATTAATTAAAATATAATATTTAGATGGATATGGTATAAAAACCGCATTACATGAAAAAATGAATTCTTCCTTCTTTTCTAGGAGGTGTTGTAAAAACAAATAAATAAAAAGAACATTCGTGACTTGTATATTATTATGATTATCCATTATCAATTTCATCTTAAAAGCAGTGCGTAAATTAATCGATATCACGATTCTGAAATTATTTCTGATTTTTCTTAACAAATCAGTCATTTCCCATCAAAAGGGATAAAAAGTAATGTTTTCCCCAAATGGGGAAAACTAATATTAAAAAAGGAAAAGCTTTCTAACGAATGAAATTACACACTCGATTCCCATAGTAAAAGCTGGCTCTTTTTAAAACGAAAGTGACATTTTGACGTAGAACAGAATAATTGAGAGTGACGTTTTTTGCAAATTCCGATGGATGCCTCCAGGAGAGGGATGTTTATTGAAATCGGGGGGATTACATGGACAAGGACATCTTTAGATATTATTTTTTTAGAGGGTGACACTTTGAGTTAAACAATCTATCTATCCCAACTATTTGAGGAAGCTATGTCAAAACGAGTACTTTACGCTAAAGTGGGTCTATATCGCTATCACCAAATGGGGTGAGAGGTCATCATGCCATGTCTTGTGGCGCCGTGGAAAGGAGGAAGGGTTTGGTTTTTGATATCAACATGATACTTAAATCAATACTTAAATTGCAATTCTTGCCCTTTAACAGCATTCTAAAATGCGTGTTTCTTTTTTTGTTTAGATGATGGACATAAAAAGTGAAGTGTCCCAGAGGAAACGAGCTTTGCCCGGAGTGGTTGGCACGAGTGTTGCGCCGAGGGAAAATCTGGTGGACTGTGCAGCATGCCAGAAACCTATTCGAGAGAGGTATCTTCTGAAGGCCCTCGACCAATTTTGGCACGAGGACTGTCTTAAGTGTGCCTGCTGCGACTGCAGACTGGGTGAAGTGGGATCCACTCTTTTCACTAAAGCCAATCTCATACTCTGCAAAAGAGATTATCTCAGGTAATATATGAGATCTCATATGCTATAACCATTTTCCGTGTTTACCACACTATAACCCAAGATATTTCCGTATCGTGATCTGTTGCGCCAACTACAATCGCCAAACAGATTTTAAACTTGTAATTTAAAGACGCTCGGTTGCTGAGAGGTAGCGCTTCGCGCTCCCGTGCCACAGGTCCTGGATTCGACCTCGGGCCGGGCAAGGTTGACTCTGCCTTTCATCCCTTCAGTGGGTAGATAAATGAGCTCCAAGCATGTTTGGAACTAAACATTCAAGATTTCGCTTTCGGCTGACCACCTAACCGGAACATCTACTCCAGCACTCCAGAGCCCAAGGTTAAGAAAACTGAGATGGGCACCGTAGGCCTTGGCCCTCTATGAGCTGTCGGGCCACTGAGTTTAGTTCAGAATTTAAAAAAAAAATACATGTAGATGTTTGCGGGGTTCAGCTACGAGTTATATCTTTCGATAAGGACCCTTTCTGTGATGTTTTAGTTTTAGTTTCGCGTTGGCCACTGCCCTGAAGTCGACAAGACTTGGCGATTATTCTGCCACAGATAACGATAGGGAAATCTTCCCCTATAACCACCAATTTCTCCAATTTTTACTAGTTCTTGGTAAACTATTTTATAATTCGTTAGGTTCTTGGTAAACTATTATAATTTAATTTGTACTGCTATATTTTGATAACTTCAGTTCTGATGAAGTACATTTGAAAAAAAAGTTGCTGACCCTATGCCATTTTGGGGGAATATTTAAAATGGCACTGTCGTCTATGTTTTACTGAGCCATATAAAAAAGAGAATACAAGATGTGAGCACTACTTGTTACGTCTGGTTTTCACCACATTTTCCACGCTTTCATGATGGTTATTCCCTTTTAGTGATATATGAGTTGTGTATTATTTCAAAATTTAATTTATAAAGAAACAGACATAATTAAGTTTCCTACTTTTTAATAGCTCCAATTGGGTAACTTTACTTCCCACCTTAATAAAAATAGTGTTAAAAATCAAATTAACTTAATCTAATAAACAAAATGAATTTTTTTCCTTTGATCATTTGCAATCTTATTATTCATAGTTAGGAACTGGTTAACAGTTCTTAACTATTCCTCATTTCACAGTGATGGAAGTAACTGCTACTCATTGCTGCTTTTTTTCCAATAAAAATTACATACGTACTGAGTTGTTTCAACGTTTAAATTTCCTTTATATCAGCTGTTTTAAAAGAAATAGATTAGAATTTGTATTTTGTTTTATCAGGAATGCCTCACATCAATCATTATTTCGTTTTGTAAATAACCAATAATATTTTTGGGTCAACCAAACTATTCCTTATTTCGTGGAAGCAATTATTACTCACTAATGTTTTGTTCTTACTCGTGTGTTTCAAAGAGAAAAATATGCAACATTCAAAACCAGAAAATTTAATAATGTTTTATAAACAAACGATTAAAAAATGATAACCAAGAGTGTCATATTTTGTAAACATTTAAGTTTTCAGTTAATTAAGTTAGGCATTATATTTGCAAGTATGAACATGTAGAAATACTGCACTTTATGCTTTTTGTCGTCATGTGTTAAAATTAGTTCTGTAGTATATATTAGATCATTAACAAAAAATTTAAACTGTCTGTATTTGTATATCGAAAAAGAGTAGCTAAGAGTTCTTAGGGACAACTATATAAGAAAACATTTTCTTGAAATCTTACATCATTTTAGGTTCTGATTATTTATTTGTACTTTTCAAGTCATTTTTAAAATAATTAACTATTCAAAAAATTTCAAATAAATTAATAAAAAATATTTGGGAAGAATTATTTTTCAAACTATTTCTCAATTGATTTCAAGGCATTAAATCTTAATATTCAAAATATAACTGAAAACTGGCAACAACTTTTAGTGAAGGCATATTTAAGAAGCATAAGCAACGTTTTTAACAAAAATTTATTTATTTATTTCAGATTGTTTGGTACGACGGGACTGTGTTCAGCTTGCAACAAAACCATTCCTGCTTTTGAAATGGTGATGAGAGCAAAAGGGAATGTTTATCACCTGGAGTGCTTTGCCTGCCAACAATGCAACCACAGGTGAGAATGTACGCAGTGCACAAAATAAAACAAAACCGACCGCTCTGAATAACTTTTGATCTAATGATCGGATCTTCACGCTCTAGAACTCAATCTTAAAGGTTCAAGGGAGTGACCTCAAACATGCTAATTAAATAGTGCAGACGATATTTTAGGTTGCGAAATCAGACACAAAAACGTTGTGCATCTTTACTTTGCTATTACAGGGTGTGGTAAAAGAGCTGGATAGACACTTTTTTAATATATCTTTATTAAAGATAAATAAATGAACAAAATTTATCAAATTTTTATGAACAAATAAATTTAATTGATTTTCTTTTTGCAGCGATGCAGAAGCGCAAACGCTTAATGAACTTTACAGAAATGGGCCGCAAATCTTTTTACCTTTTATCTATGTCATTGCCTATGTATCATTGCCACATTTAATGTACATTGCTTAAAATTAAAAAAAAAACTGACCACCCGGAATAACTTTCGACCTAATGATCAGATTTTCACGCTCTAGGATTCAATCCTAATGACTCGAGAGGATGACCTCAAATATGCTTTTTAATTAGTGCAGATGATATTTTAAGTTACGAATAGATAAATATATAGACAGATTAAGAAATTTCAAAAATGTACTTTCTCTGAATAAACATACCATTTTTCGACAAATTTGGATTTCTAATACTAATTAGGATAATAATAATTAGCCGCAATCCGGGAAATAGGGTTCCAATAGTTTGATCAAGAAAGTAGTCCAAAGTTTGAACCCCTTAATGTTAAATTACTTTTTGCGTATTTTACCCTATCTGAAGAACGCTTTAAGCTAATTTAAAAAAAATGCACACAATTATAAATTCGTCGTTTATCCAAGGATAATTCCATGCAAAATATAACTTTTGGTACATATTTATCATTATTTATTTTTAATTTAATATTAGTCAAAAATGCTTTGAATTGTAAGGTATACAATTTTTCACACCATTTTAAAGAAAGTAATTTTACATAGTAAAATACCAAATTTGAATGAAATCGGTCGTTTAGTTACTGAGAAATTGAATGTTAAAAAAAATCGTATCTTTAGAACTTGATTTATCAGGAACTATTAAGGTTGAGTCCAAGAACATGAAGATCTGATCATTAGATCAAATTTTATGTGGTCCGTTTTTTTTCCTTCTTTTTTTGCTCTCTGTACATCATACCTTAACTGTATTATAAGTGATAAAAGGGATTAAAAGTGACTAAACTGAACAAAAATAAAACTTTTTGTCAGTACCTTATTTCACTAATAAAAGCTTACAGTTTAAAGGTCTATATGTAAACCGTGCAATTAGATCAAGAGGAGTATTGGAAGTTTTAATAATTGGTTTGGGACAAATTAACCATGCCTGATTTTTTTCATATTTTACATATAATTACGTTAACTTTAATATCAAATTTATTCGAATTTGACAGTTGCTCTTACTCACTAGGGGGATTTTCAGACATTAAGGTAACATTTCTTTTTCAAAACTCTAAATGTGTTTTGTGAGACATTGCCTAATTTTTATTTATATATTTTGAATAAAAAGGTAACTTTTATTTTAGATTTACACACTGGTCTTAATTTTTTTTTATTTATCTCTTTCTGTATGGTACATATTTCGACATGTTTTTTTCTCTCGAAAATTTGAAATTAAAAGTATCATTATTAGAATAAATTAATAATTGCAGGTCTATAATTTGCAAATCAATACATCAATAATTTGCTCTTTAATTGTAGGTTGTAATGACAAAGTTTACATTTTTTTAAAGATTTAATTACTCCAAAATTAAAGCATTCTCGAAGTATAGAGTATTTAAATAATGTAAAAATAATGTAAAACGCGTATCAATTGTTTTTGAGAAAAAATGACCTCAAACTTTACCATTTTAATACGGACTAAATAGAATCAGTCCCTTAAGCTGATCCCTTAAGCTGGCAAATGAGATGTAGATGAGAATGTTGGGAAAAAAATTAAAAAAAAAGGTGTTGTTTTAATTATTCTTAGTAAAAATCATTAAATAAATTTTCATTCCAGGTTCTGCGTTGGAGATCGTTTTTACCTGTTTGACAATAAGGTGCTTTGTGAATACGATTACGAAGAGCGTGTCCTCTTCGCTTCACTGCCCTACTCTTCCTATAACAGTCTTGACCAGATACAGAGGCAGACGGACAGTTTGACACCTTTATCACCCCCTGTGGATGATGCTTCCAGTGGATATGGCAGCCCTAGTTCCCTAATAAGTGACGGACACTAGTGTGGCGCCCTCTGCTGGCGAAGACTTTTAGGTGTACCTGAAAGACATTGGCGAATGTGTCGCCGATAAGTTGGCGAGTACAAGCCAAACTTTGAGAATAAATTGAAAAACGTGCTTTTATGGTACTCAGAAAATAATGGATGAAAATATTGAAGTACATTCTATGCTTCTCAGAGAAATTTCGAGAAAAGGAATATATTTGTCAGAGATAAGTTTATAGATAGAATCTATGCTGCATTGAGAATATAATTTTATATTCAGTATTGTATACAAATTTTATTTTATATATATATTGTTTTTCTTTTGATCGTATAATTCTCAAACGCTTTCGCAATAATCAAAATGAATTTGCAAAAAAATCAAAAATTTCATAGATTACATTATTAGTATATGTATCATTTAACACATTGTTAGCCATAGTTATGAATACATAACAACCGAACATTAAACGAATATAAAATAAATAAATTACTCTGATTATAATTTAATGTTAGGTCCATAAAGATATTTTTTGTTAGCATGAAATTTGGAAAAAAAATCTATGACAAGTGTTCATTTAGTAGATCAGATTTTGTTTTTATTAATTTTACAGTCTAACTATTTAATGAGTTACCGTCTTTTCATTTTATTGACTGACAATGTGTTACTTGCATATGCTTTTCTTTTCCAGAATATGTAATCTTCCATTTCCTTGAATTTTAATTTTTTCTATTATTCATATCTTTTTCTTTATTATTCTTTCAAGCTCGGGTAAATAAATAAAAAAAAAATTTCTTTTTCGTTAAACATTTTTGAGACGGATCTTATTGTCCCAAAATCTCATCCTAAACTTAATAATGCTGTTCACTTGTAATCGACTTGTCGAAAAAATAGAAGAAAAAATAGAAAATTAAAGGAAAACATGTCTGGATTCACTTCATTTTTATTTTTTCTTTAAATTAAATTCTTGAAATATTAGCTCAAATTTGTCAGAAAAACTATAAAAATATATGAAGTAATATTAACACTTTATCAGCAGGCAATATTTTTGACGAAAAATTCTTAAATAATAACGTAATTAGTTTTAAGGACTTAAAAAAGTGTATAATAATGACATAAAAATAGTTCAAGTATAAGCTAAAGTTATACAATATTTAAAAAAATATATACACTAAATTATAGCTGTCTAAAAAGAGCAGTAGACATGTTTTGATGCTTCTGATATATTTTTTTAATATACAGGATAAAATCGTCTCAATTTTGTTAATAAAGTACTTGAGATTTTTTTTCTTCTTTTTTTTTAGTTTCGAATATTAGTGCTGAAACAAATCTAGTCATAAACTATTGTTTATGAATTGTTCATTAAGTTCATTAAGTAATGTTCATTTGAGTTAATAAAATCGAACGTTAAAAAAAAAACATTTAAAATAAACAGATTACTTCCTTATGATTCATATATGGTTACGTCAGTTTTACTTTCATTTAACTATTATATTGTCAGTTTTACTTACTTTTATTTTTGAAAATGATGGTTTAAAAAACTTTTAGACAAAGAAATGTTAAATCCAGAAGTACTAAGTAAAAATACATTCCCTATTTCCCTTCGTGAAATAAATATAAAACACTAAACTTCTACTATACTTAATTTCGGAAAATATCTTCTATCGAACTTATTATTTTCCTGAAAAATCAGGATCATTTATTTTTCTCACAAAAATTGGATTTTATTGCTGCAATTTAATCTATTTATTAGAATCTCTTTTTAATTTAAAATGGCTGCAAAAAGTTTTGGCCTTTTAAACTTAATTTGATTACTTAAGAAATTTGTTGATTAATTAGTTTCAGAGAATGAATATTTTAATTTAAATTTATGAGCCAGTATAATGTGTTGCGCATCAAGGAAATAAATAAAATAAATCACATTACTTACTCATGTCTGCGTTGGTTGCAATTATAAAAACTATGTGTGCAATATTTTTGGAAAATACAATGAATACAAATCATAATTTCGATTTTCATATTTTGTTTTATTGGTTAGAATTATTTATTTATGAATAAAGATTGTTTACAAAATGCTTGTATTCTATGGATTATTGGTAACTGGTAAATTAGTCATTATCAGTGTGAAAAGTAATTGTAAATGAAAGATGGATTCGCTGTATAATAGTCGAAGACTCTTTGTACAAAAGAAAATGGAGAACTACGGTATTGTAAAGTTAGAAATGCTTCCTAAAAACTGTATTGTACATATTATATTTGTTGTTTCAAGTGTATTAAAATTTGATTGAATCTGTAAAATTGTTGCATTGTTTCTTTTTATTTTATAACCATCGTTGAGCAGCACTTTTGAGCTTACGACTACCAATGCTCAACTCTGTAGTCTCGTAATTTTATACCCAATCTGGAAGACAAGAAAACTCCTGGTTCAGTACCCCCAGAGGATTTGATTCGTTATGGGAACTTGGAGGACTTAGCGACCCCGATAGATTTAACTAGCACCAGTTACTATTTAATACAAGGGGATTCTTCGGCAGGCTGAAATCAAACTCCCGTTCTCACGAACACGAGTCCATCGCCCTACCAACCAGACTATCCCGTCCTTTTTCATTGTTTATTTTATTTTATAACAGTCGTTGAACAGTTTTTAGGTTTACGACTACAAACGTACAACTCCACAGCCTTGTAATTTTGAACCCAATCCAGAAGACAAGGGAATTCCATGATGAAGTATTATGAGAAATTTTACCTTCGTGGAGGACTTTTGGATGGAACTAACCGGCATTTGCTTTAAATGGCGAGTAAAACCACGAAAACCTTCCACGGTTATCTTGACTGTGAGGGGACTCTATCCCGTCTATCACTGAGTATATTTTACGTCAGCACTGTGGTCGGTGCTAGCCGGTCGTGGAATTCTTATCGATGAGCCATAGTTGGGATTCGAACCTGGTTCCCTTCATTGGAAGGTGAACACTCTATCTCCTGAGCCATCACGACTCTTTTCATTGTTTATTGCTGAAAATATTGAAAATTGATAACACATATGAGTTTTGATGTTATCTTTCTATATTTAAGAAAAATCTAAGGGCTGCCGCCGATGTTTAGGGTGTTCAACTGAATATTACATTTTCTTTTTCTGCGCAAAAGCTATAATACTTATACTTAAAAACTTAAAGATGAGTAGAAAAGTGTATAGGAACTATGATAGAACAAAAAAATATTAACATTCCATAATTTGTTTCAGAATTATTAACCGTTAACCTTGCTGGAAAAAATGCCATACGAGCTGCTCCACAGACTGCAGGAATGCAACTACAGGGTTGGGATTCGACATGCTGAAATGCAACTGCTTAGTTGAAATTTAATGTGCTGATCGGACCATTTTTTTGCACGATAGTTTTAGCGAGAGGTTTCTTAGAAATTCACATTTGTTCGAAAGTTATTACAATTTTAAGTGCTTTTTCGTGATTTTTTTCAGCTTATTCGACTTAACAAATAGATAAAAATTAATTTTAATTTTTCTCTTTAAATTGATTCACACATACTGTGTACATTTTTTAAGCTCAGATGATTATTTTTTAAATCTAGGTAAATGTCTATGTCGTTATGAATAACATATTTACAAAATGTTCTTACAGGAAATTAAAATAATTGTATATTTTGAAACCAAAATGTTCTCTGATTTTGTGGAAAATATTTACGTTTTAGAAGAAATGAACTGATGAATGATAATCACATATGAGGTTAGGCGAGGGTGAGCAGGAGGTGAAACCCCATAATGTTTTAAAAAAAACGACAAAAAAAACATCGCAAAATGCACAACGTCCATTTTATATAAACAAAGTAATACGGACAAGTAAAATTATTTAAAAAACATAGAACGTTTTTAGTGTTATAAGCATACATATTCTCTTTGCTTAATTGGTTAATTAGCATACATTGACTCCTAACGCCTTAAACGCAGAGTTTTGAAGCATAATTTTAAAATTCTACTCTTTATACTAGACTCAAGTAAAGGGCATGCATTTCCACATCTAATGTTTCAATTATAACAAATATTTTTTGAGAAGGAAAGGCTTAATAGGTTACAGAAGAACTTAAGCAATGTCATCTTGAAAATCGTGGAAGTTTCGATTTGCTATGTTGTAGACCTGATTAGCCACTAATAAGGTGGTATAATGTTTTTGATATAAGTTTGAAAACATATTCAATAAATGTCATTCTTCCTAAAAGTGCAACAAAAAATTTCCTTTAAACCAAATTAATGCTAAAGTAACCTAATATATTGTTCTTGTTTTATTTGAGTTTGATAAACTACTAAAGGTGACTGTTTGATAAATGTGTAGTAGACCAGATCAAATTTTTCGTCTAGAAATTCTAAAAAATGTATCATATCTTTCAATGAAAGTAAAGTATGCTTTTTTTATGCACAGTTGATAGCAATTTACCCCCATAAATAATATAAAACCTTTTATTTGATTTCACAATTTTCAGGCACAGAAACAAATGATTCTAGGAATATTTCAGGAAAATGTGAGGTGCCAGATTGTCTACCCTATTATCTAGATAATAAACAATATAGGAAATTCTATTTCACCTGATTTATGATTTGCAAATCTTCTCCATCGCAAATAGCAACCAAGAAAAAATATATATATATACAAAGACAGTATAAACGACTGCCTGGCTTTAATCCGATACTTCTTTTTCATTTTCTGCTCTAACTATAACTGCGACTATCGAATTCGAAGATCAGATTAAGGGATATCTATTTCACTGTCTTTTAGACGTCGTCATCAATCTGGCAACGTGTGGAAGATTTCTCCAGTTACGAATGGCAACAACAACGATGGCGAATACTTAAGCCTAATCTTCTCATCTCAAAATGGCGGAGTCGTACATAAACAAAAGAAGAAGAAAACCACGCCGTTTGTGCGTTCTTATCTGAATTACCGTATCAAGGAACTTGTTCATTAATTTGGAAGCATGTGAGAGGTGACATCGAAAGAAAAAAAGAATGATAGCGGATGAATTTATGTTACAAGAGAATTTTTTATGGAACATCCTTTCTCGTCTCATTTTTTTAAACTTCTTTCACGTAGCATTAGCACAATTTTAAATCATTTTTGACCTTTCTTGGTTTAAAGTGAATTTATATTGAAGTAAATTGAAATTTAGATTTATCTGATTTTAAATTATGTTTTTCGTCAAAAAATATTTTGTTTTGAATTATTGAAATTTATAAATAAAATGTATACATTGATACTATTTCACTCTTAGGAAAATTGATTTAACGACGAACCCTAATATCGGTAATTTAATACATATTTCTTGCAGATTTTATATGGCGTTAAGTTGAAAAATCTTTTTACTTAATTAGATTCATTGTAATCGTTTCGTCAAGTTTGGGAAGAACGATAATGTGGTTCAACGTAATCATATATTAAGGTTGCTGGAAAGTTGATCGCTTGTAGGATTAACACGCTGCAAAATATCTAAATGTGTACAGAAAAAACAAAGAACAGAATAAAAAGAAAAACTGAATTCGAAGACGATGAGGTTATATTACAAAAGAAAAAACTTAATCCCCGAATAGAATTAAAACGATAAAAGACCGGGAGGGCTAAAAGAATAAAAAGAAATACTTAAAATTAAAAGCTATAATATATTAACTGAAAACAGAGTTAATTTTTCATCTCAGTTTTAAAAAGTCAAGCATGCAAAAGAAAGAAAAAATTTAGACACTTTTGAAACAACTTTTTTTTGTTCTTCTGCGCAGAAAATTCATATTTATAACACCTCATAAATATTTCTTGTTTTCTTGGCTTAATTATATGCTTATCTCGATCCCTATGTGGTTAATTTAAATCAAGTATCAACAATATTAATTATAGATCTTCACTAACAAAAATTATTTCATTATAATTTGAATAGAATTGAGTAAAGTGGCTGTAGTTTTAGTCTTAAATCCCACTAAAGATGAATAGTTTTCTAGGTTCACATTATCTTGACATTAATTTAAGCAAAGTTAAGTACTATATTAAACAAATTAAGGAATTTGAAAAAAGGATATCATTATACAAAGCTAATTGAATCAAGTAGAATTGCGCATAAATGTTATAATAACAGTTTGAAATTGCATGCTAACATTTATTTAGTTGATATATATTCAAATGATGTAATTTTTGTTCACACATAACTTTATTCAGAGAATTTTTTTTTTGTCTTAGAGCTCTTTAGTCTAGACACAGATCAGCATTTTCAACCGAAATTTAACAATAAAACAGAAATTTCACGTTTACTTTTCTTTATTTTTTAAAACAAAGCATAATCATTTCTCGGAAAAATCTTGATTATTCGGGTGAATATATTGTAGATGCAATTTTACAGGTATCTCTTCATATCAGAACACATGGAGAAGAACAATTCTGAAAAACATTATTGTGTACTTGAATGATAATAACATTTCTGACGAATAAAATTATAATTCTGGTGATAAAACCAAAATATATGGTATTTTAATCATTCATATGAAATTTTTCCGTTCGTTTTTCAACGGTTTACCGGAAATTCTGATTTTTAAAGTTATAGTTCCTATTACTACGCATTTAGTAAAAATTCAATACTAAAAAGTAAATTTAACCGAAGAAAAGGTTCTTTACCATGGTATAAGGTATTCAGATAAAATTACTGAATTTTGACGCATTTAATTACCAAACAGCGTGGTAATAAATCATGTTTTATTGTTAATTTTTCCAAAAGTGTTGTAAAAAGTAATTGTTCCAATTGCAAAAAGTAATTGTTCCAAAAGTGCGTTATTGTTAATTTACCAAAGTGATTTGGTAAAAATTACTTTTCTTTTCGTTCCCATGGAGCCAGAAACATGGTAAATGTTACCATATTCTGGTAGTTTTAACCATAGTTTTCTTAAGTAGTAGTTTTCTTAAAGCATTAAATCCTGGTAGTTTTCTTAAAGCATTAAATGATTAAGTAGTTTTAAAAAAATCTAATTTACACAACGGCATTTAATACCCTTATTATAAATTTATAAGATCATTCCCTTTTTTTTCCTAAAAGAACTGCTAGTTTTTAATATCTTTGCCAAAAAAAGACTAATTTTTTTAAAACATAAATGTACTAAATGATATAGCCAAATGGACGACATCACAATACGAATTCATTCGGATCCATTACTTTATTTTGTAACAAAAAAAAAACCCATTTTCAGATGAAAAGTTTGAAATACGAATTGGAATCCTTTGTCCATTTTTTTAAATAACTATATACATTTTCTTAAAATT